CCCACATCTTATTGATCTCTAAGAAAGTGTTTCGACTTACCTTCTACATTAAAAAGTTAAGACAATCAGGTATCAACCAACCTTTAGTTCTGCAATTTTTAAACTCCTGTATTTTAACTATTGCACTCTATTGTTCTCCATTAATCTTTCCTGGGCTTCTTAAAAAAGACTAAGTCATATTACGAAGGGTATTAAATGCTGTGAGTAGGGCTTGTGGTTTGCCACTGGGTGAGCTCGCCAATACTATAGTCCAGAGACACGTGAATTCCTGCACAAAGTGAGCAAAGGCCGTGCTGTCAGACTCTCTGCACCCTCTTTATTCACAACTATCCCCTTGTACCTCATCAAGTAGGACGAGAAGTCAATATAAGAAATTATATGCTCGTACCACTAAGTACAAAAATTCTACAATACCGTATTTAGCCCGTATTTTATGTGATGACGAATCTGTTAGACGTGAAACATTTAAGTTACTATGTAATTAGCATAGTGAATCGACCCTTTCATTGTTCATCTTTCTGTAATTTTATGGTGTCACTCTTTCTATCGCTTAATTACAACTTTGCCATTTTATTTTAGTTGTTATTACTATTATTACTATAATTTTATACTTTATGCGTATTTTTCTCCTTACTGCTTACAGTAATTTGCTAAATAGCCGCTATAAAAACGTTTTGTTATCATTATTATGTAATAGTATATTCTCACTTTTTACATGAGGAACGCCAGCTTACAGGCATCATCAATATGATAAATTACATATACGATTAATAATAATAATGTATATTTCCTATCGATGTAGGACACACCAGTTGTACAGGCATTGATAAGTATTATTTAAATTACACGAATTTGATTTATAGTGAAATTACATGGTTGCTGTCCTCTCTGACATCAGTTAATGAGCACATTCTGATAGTTAGTCGTTCAACGGAGCACATTAAGAGATTTAGAAAAGTTGTCTTCACATTAACAAAAAACACAAGTATGTGTCGGATAAATTACAAATATTTGGAAAAAATAAAGCTTGAAGTCAGTTCCTCCGTATAAGTTTGTTGTGTGCGGCATCGTATCTTGTTCTTGTTTTATGGTCAAATTGGGTATTAATTTAAAATGAGTGATTTAAAATAAGATAAGCATATTTAATAAAAGTAATTTAATAAAATACATTTTTTCCTACCTGTGTAGGACACACCAATTGCACAGGCATGGACAAGTATTATTTAAATTACATAAATTTGGTTCATGGTAAAATTATAAGGTCGCAGTCATTTTGTCTATGGGAACAATATGATAACTAGTCATTCAATAGAGCACATCAAGAAATATAGAAATATTGTCTTCGCATTAATAAAAAAACCCAAGTTTGTTTTGGATGGATCACAAATACTTGGGAAAAAAATAAAGCTTGAAGCAATTCCCCATATAACTTTGGTGTGTACGGCATCAAGTCTTATTCTTGATTTATATCCAAATTTGATAATAATTTAAAATAAGTAATACACTTGTATACTTTTGTCAGCATTTTCATCGTAACATCACAAGTGAATTGTACACGATGTAGACTAATAATAATGACAGTTTATATTTTCTTATAAACGGGTGTTGTCAAGAGATGCAAGCTATTTTTGCGGACAAGATCAGTTATGTTGTAAGTTACAATCATGAAGTATTATAAAGGAATACTTTTTCATTGGTATAAAAGTATATTTCACAACTGTAATCCAGGTTGCGTAATGAGTTATTCACGAGGGAATTGTAAGATAAGGGACCAATAATGTTTGCAGATCATTTGTCATTGTAAAGGGTTAAATATCCACATTCTTTATTCTCATTCAAAAAGTCAAATGGAAGCTAAAATGGTGAGAGAAAAAAGAAGACAAACAACAACAACGCAAAAGAAAGCAAGTGTAGGACTTCGGGAGCGATTAATATGTATATGTTCATTTATATTCTGTTTAGTGATTATAGTTATTTTGGTGCACTAACTAACTAGTCCCGTTATGCTAACTTTTATATTGCGTGAACTAATATTATTGTCCTGTGCAAAAATGTCCATCATGAACTTCTAATAATATGAAAATTTATCATTGTAGTTTGTTGTAACTACGCGTTTAATGAACTTCAAAATATCTATGTGGGGTGAAAGAGATATTGTATTATTTAGACGCAGGTGTGCACTGTCATCTTTGTGCAGTCTGGTGTCTGAGGAGATGAACACTGCGAGTGTGTTTGCATAGCGCACATCAGCTGGTAGTCTATTCCAAATAACTGAAAACTTATTTAAGAAGAAGTTGTACCGCATATAAGTTTGACAATGCTCTATAGCAGCTAGGTTGTGATGATTTCTAAGATTGTAACTGATGACAGCGGTATGTTTAGTTATTGGCTCGTAGGAGTGCACAAGCAGATTAGTTAGCTTGTAGTAAAAAATTAGGTTCAGCTTAAGACGTCTTTTCCAGAGTGGTTCTAAACTTAGTCTGCCGCAACGCTCATAGTATTCAAGACCACTTTCTAAACCAAGGATTCTTAAGGTGAATTGCCGTTGCACTCCTTCTAATTTAAGCTTGTCATTTTGTCTGAGTCCGCTGAGAATATACGGGCAGTATTCTAAAATAGGTCGGACAAATACTTTATATAATAAAACCCTAGTTTCACAACAAAAGAAATTGCGAGTTATGCATCCTAGGAGCCTTCGTGTTTTACGTCTGGCACAATCAGTTTGTTCAGAGAACGTTAAGTTACTAGAGTATCTGATACCGTGATCTACGACTGAGTTGAGCTTGGTTAGTTTACGCCCATTTATTTCAAGATTCAGGTCAAGATTACTGTCGCCAATACAAATCCAGCTGCATTTGTCAGTATTGAACTTTAGACAGGATTCAGTGCACCATGTTGCGAGACTACTTAGTTCAAGATGTATTTTACTCACCATATCGCTTAGTTCATGAGCGTAGTAGCAGTAAACGACTTTGAGGTCGTCAGCATATAGGAATGATTTACCTGAGGTGAAGCAGTTGCAAATGCTGTTAATGTATACTGTAAATAAAAGTGGACCTAGGACACTACCTTGCACAACCCCACTTGTGATCTGCCTAGGATGAGACAACACAGATCCAACCTTGGTTATTTGTACCCTATTGCTTAGAAACGATTTTAACCAGCTCAGTAATGGATTGCGAATCCCACATGAATACAGCTTCTCAAAGAGAATACTGTGAGATACCATGTCAAATGCCCTAGATATATCGAAGTAGAGAACAACAACTAGCTTACGTGCTTCGCGACTACTAGTGATGCAGTTGAAAAAGTCCAAGTGGCAAGTAACGCAAGACCTATTTTTGAGAAATCCGTGTTGAGACCTTGTAACAAGATCTTCCTTAAGTAGATAGTCTGACAATTGATCTTTGACAACTTTCTCCATGATTCGCGGGACAACTGGGGTTATATTTATTGGTCTGTAATTGCGGACGTTTGCCTTATCACCGGATTTATAGTGTGGAATTATGAAGCTAGTTTTCCACTCATGAGGGTAAGTGCCAGTGTCCATAGATATTGAGAAGAATTTAAGAAGTAGTAGGGGTATATCACACCCACTGTTTTCGAAAATTATAGAAGCAAGGCAATCTGGTCCCATGCTAGTGGAAGGCTTCAGGCTTTTAACTGCTTGTTCCATTAATTGGCCGGTGAACACTATGCTTCCGAGGAAAGAGCTAGTAAGGGGGCCGGTTTCACCAGGAATGTGCGTTTGTAAACTGAAGTTTGCAAACCACTCACTGAATATTTCACAGATAGTGGCAGGCTCATTGCCGATAACTTTGTCGTGAAGTAAATAGCGGATGTCCCTCGTCGACTGTATTCGCTTTTTAAGAAGTGTTGTTAAGTTATAAACTTTGGAGGTGCTTTCAAGTGCCCTTAATTCTTCGTCGAGATCCTTTTGAGAGCATTGGCGCTTGATATATTCAAGTGATAGTGATATATCCTTAGTGGAATAGTACTGTTTCTTCAACTTCCTTAACTTATTGCGGCATGCCCTCGGAATGTATTCAGCTTGGTGTCTACCTTCTTGATTATTTCGTTTATTTATTTTTTGTTGTTGTCGTTTTTGAGTTAATTAGATGCAATATTGTACTGAATGCTGAAAATTCCTTGCTGTATCATTAATACTGTTTTTGGAATAAAGCAAATTATTATTATCATTATAAGCGACAGAGTCTTAACACACTGCACACTGCGAATCACACGCAACCAATCCTTGCACTACTTTCCATTGAGTTAAAGTGTCTGATGCTAATGACGTTCGCGAATTGTACAGAGTATATTAACACCAGATCTAATACCAACAAGGCAAAGCAAAAGACACACTACGAGATATATTTCGGGACCAAATCGTAGACCGAGATGAATGCTTAGCTGGCTAGTGATCGTGCATGAACGTGACACAACGGAATACCAGATGGCTTGGATGCTTGACCGGGAACCTTCAGCTAAACAAGTCGACTTAAACAGTGAGGGTCAGCATCCAATGTTCAGTGATGGTTACTGTGGTCAATAATTTTGGGGAATTATTTACCGCTACAGAGTCTATCGAAGCCACGGCAGTCAAGCGGCAGGACACACTATGCAGAATTTTAGCAATGATTTTTGTCTTTCATTCAAGAAGTAAGCACAAAGAAATCAATCTTACTTATACTAGGTGGTATTTGACATATTGTGTGAAGGGCATTGGATATTGAACACGCAATAATAATAAGGCTGATTTTTGATGGTTCGTGGAATTACTTATTTGTGTCCCTCGTATTGGTCAAATGAAATATGGCTAGATGCATTTTGATCATTTCAATTGTTTCGCTTATTTGCAGCAAAAATGCGGCTTGGGAGTCAAGTGGCAGTACACATGATGAGCTCATAAATAACCTATGGAGTAACTAGGATACATTGTTTAATGTTTCGCTGCAGACAATGGAGTTATTAAGTCGGAACGTGTAAAAAAAACGATGATGTCTGTAGACCGTGGGGATTTCTCGTTTTTAAACCCATATGAAGACGGGGCACAGCCAATTGGTTACCGTGCAACAATAAGTGCTCCTCACATAGTAAGTACTCACCAAAGCTGGTAGTTTAGTGTGACTTAGAAACTACCCTAAATCTATCAAAAACTCACTAGACCATAGAGCAACTCATCTTTAGATCCGAGGTAGGGATTTAGGCGTCTAATGAATAATTTATCATAAAATTTATAGTGCTGATGTTATAACACGACCATATATAGTGGTGTCATATGAAGTGAGAAATCCTTTGGCAGCCTGATTTATCAGGATTTCAGTCTTTTAAGGTGAAATATGTAGTAACGGTCAAACTGTAGTCGGAGATCCACAAGTAGTTCAGGAGTAACTACAGAAATATTACGATAACAGGCAAGCATATTTTGCGTAACAATTAGTAAACGTATATTGTTTACAATTTTGCTTTAATACACTGTTACTTTGAAATACCGGACCCTAAACAGGAAAGACTACTATTTTGATTCTGTGTAACCTTACTTATTTCCCGTGGATTATCTGTTCATTCTTCTGATTACTGGTGGTCGTCTTATTGAGATATTGTTTCCCTGAAACAACTTTTAAGCTTCTGTTCTCCTGAATTCATACAAACATTAATATAAAGTGCATTTGGGAGCTTGAAGTTGACTCATAATGCATATTATATGGTCTCCTCATAGTTAATTTGAGGACCAATTTTCAGGAATCAGTTGAGATTTTCTTTATTGGAGTCCAGATATTTCATCATTATGCCTAACAAGTGACATATGTATCAAAACTTGAGCTCGTTATTTTGCTTCAAAATGTTGGTCATCAACAGATAAACTTATCGCCACATTCCTATTTAAATAGCTGGTTGGTTTCAGAATGGTTTCCAGTTAATCATATGTTTTGGAGACATCGTAGTACTAGTTTGCACGTTATACGTTTTCTGGGAGAAAGAAATCTAGGTTTATGGCTTTCCTTCAGTTGCACTGAAGCATCTGACATCAATTCGAAGTGCACCACAGTCGCAGGTTACGTAGCTCGGTGAACACGTTGCATAATTGGGTGATAGGATTCGTCAGCAACATAATTCCATCCTGACCGATATGAGGTGCAGGAACGGCTGGCATCGTGATGCAGTCTAATGATAAGGAGTGAAATATTTGAGCGTGTCGACCACTTTAAATTGTCATCATTTACTATGCAATAATTCTTTCTGCTGTAAATTTTCTTTCGTTATATTTCCTTTGAATTTTTTCCGCCTTTGTGTACCACGTGGATCCAACAATATCAATTACTGCATTTCTGCGCAGTTTCGTGCTTAGAACCCTACCAATTAGCACCAATGCGACTTTATGTACTTGCTAGTGACCAGTCATACAAGAGGTTAAACTTTGGCACAAATGGCTTCGTGGCAGTGTTTTGGAATGCAGAATTAGGTTACGCGGGTTCGGATGGCTGAAGCAACATCACATATTTTGATGTTGCAGATACGCGTGACTAACGAGGGCCGAACAGTGGAAACCTACACCCAGAGCTTTCTGCTGGTAACTCCCAACCATCTGGCACCAGTATTTTGCAGTTGTGATGGTGCAAGCAAGATAAATGGTCTCTGGCGAACTGGTTTTTCTGTTTGCTTTGTCGGTGTTGCACATAAGATGTTCCGATATGCATTAGTAACCATAGATTGCTAACGAACTAGGAGTTATGGCAAATTGTTTTGTGGTTGACATCAGTCAAAAATGTACCATTCTAGTACTTAGTGCTGCATACTACATGTGATGATTTGTAAGAACCATGGTTTGTATTTGACCGACCATTAATTTCCTGTGGTTTATGTTTGAGCGAATTTATTACTTTTCAGTAGTCCTTCATGTATTTGGAGGCTGTATTGCATATTTCTTTTTGTTTTTATGCTTTAGCATGCATACGCTTTGGAAATACTAGAAGGTTATCTTAACCCTGGTTCACGTGCCTTAGATGTTGGGTCAGGTAGTGGATATTTAACAGTGTGTATGGCACTTATGGTAAGTTTGTTTTATTCTGCACAAAAGTCTTACGTCGTAAACAGAGCCCACTGCATGTGAATACATCTTGGTGCATATTAGTCTATCATTTAGTATATTGTTTCTGGAATGGTTGCCAAATGAACTCTTATTGTCATTTGACTGTATTTAGTCTATTAAAGACAAACGTGATAAAAACAAACAATATCTGGGTTTTTCCTTGAAAGTCATACAAAAATGAGTGATATTTATTGTTTTACTGTCATTTGTGTAAGACGGGAATGAACGGCAACTTGAGTTCGCGGATAGAGTAGTGTACACTAAAACAGTTTATTGTCAAAGCTTAAATTTGCTGTTCGTGTGAAGTGTATTTCAAGGTTGGCTATTTCATTGACTTCTTACTTCTTTAATCACTTAGAGGTATAATCTCATGAAACTACATACTGCTGATGGTCGAGGTGAGTAGGTAAACACCACACACATCAACCAGCAGTGCTTGCCAACCAGCTAGGTCGAAATAATGTAAATACTGGACTGCTGTTTCGTTCATTTGGAGCTGAACTCATCATCTGTGTGTTCAACTCACGGTTCATACTCTTAGGCACTCGGTCTCCAACCTTTCAGTGTCGAGTTTGAGTCTCGCTCCACCTACCTCAGTCTGGGTAACTGGGTAATGTCATCAGCTTTTGCACAGCGTAGGATAAATGGGAAATCTATTCCAGATAAGTGAGTAAAAAATTCTCTTAACTACTAGCTATTGTTATCAGGACAAAGTGATAAACTCGTTTATTTTAACAGCTACTGAATCTACAGTAGTGGTTCAGTCGTTTATATATTTGGGTAGGAGAGTTAAACATCTTGCGTTATTAGCACTCAATTTGTTACTTTTATTACAGTTTTTGCTCGCAGTCTGTGGATTAGGATTGCTATTTTTTCCTATAAACTAAACAGAAGTGCCTTGGAAACCACCAGGTAGGCTAATCATAGAAAGGAAAGGAGGATTTCGGCATAATAAGGCTAATAATTTGGCATATTTACAAAATTGTGTTACTTTGAGCAGTTGAGATACGTGTTATTCTCCAACAGTTTTCATTGTTATGTGTACATCAGGACTCACTGATGCTTTTTCAGTATGTAGTTCTTGTGTGTCAGAAATGGTCAAAATTTTAATTTATCGTATTCTGTGTATTGTTTCGCCCAGATAATTTAGTAAGTTCTTAATAACAGCTTACTTTGGAGATAATAATGTATGTGTACTTCACTCTGAATTAACAGAAAATATTCAGTGCGTAACTTGCGATATATATATGTATAGTACCTGCTAGCCTGATAATTTTTTCATGGACATAGAAATATAACTGTAAAGTTGTAATGTGTTGCGCTTCGGTTCCTGCGATTTCAGTTATCCTTTTAGATCCTTAGTGGCAGGGTATCTCATGATTTAGTAGTATTATTATTAGAACACAAAATTGGTACATTATGGCCACCAAGAGATCAATTTCAAGTCACAAGGCAGTAGAGCTGCGTTCACGTGCTCCCAGCTCAGTCAGTTTGGATTCTGAAGTCCATGTACACGATAGGTTTGGAATCAGAGTTTCCCAGCTCTCCTAGATAGGCCACGATATCTACTAGTCCGGTTTTAAGCACTGAACGTTCGCGTTAGTGCCTTCAGTCTTTTTTGAGAAACAAATCCCCCCTGCGTGGAGCCAGTGAACAGAATAGGGGTTACGTATCAGAGGCTATGAACGCGTGGCGACAATAAAATATTTCCAGAGGAAGACCTAAGTTTACCGACGCTTGGCCGTGATATGTTTACGGGGGCAACAGTGATGTAAATATACTAAATCTTTATCATCCTAAAGATTTTGAAACACATTCACTTGCCTCCATTTGATTGTCTTTTCTCCTTTCACATCCATGTTAGATATTGCTGTAGCATTACACTTTTCCCTAACCCTTTTGTGTAATGCTTCTTTTTATGGCAACCTGAAATGATACACTTTTGCGTAGGTTTCTGACACTTATCTGTGTGTCTCTTTGTAAATATTTCTATTTTAATTCAGTACAAGTCATCTTTACTTGTTTCCGATCACTTCAATTACTTTTGTTTCCTAAAATCCTGTTGAAACAGGATATGTATTTTCGACACTAATGTCAAGTCAGTGCTTCTATATGGTTAAGAGACTTGGCATATCAACAATAGCTTTTCGAACAGCTGCCCTCGCTCCATGTTAAAGATTAGATAGCCAAAAAAAGATTAGCAACAGGGAACTCTGGGAACGAACCAACCAATAACCCACATTCCAAAAATAAGCTCAAGTGGAGGTGAATGAGATACATGACTGTAATCTTTGAGTCACATCGCGCTCCAGTCTCTTTAGTGAGACCCGAATCGGAAACGACGAGTTGGGCGTGGATCCGAGGTTGACGTGGAGAAGATTGTGTGAGGAGATGAGAGCTTATAGGCAACCGTGGTACCAGCTAAGGACAACTGCAGAGAACACAGTGGAAAGGAGATGTTCTGTTGAATCCGTATGTTCCACTCGAAACCTAGGGGAATATTAATAACATTAAGAATAATTTTTAGCGAAGGGACTTTTTGTATAATTTTTTACTCTCCTTTAAAAGTGTTTGTGTTCACAGTTCGTTGCTTTTACTCATTTTCTTTCTCTTAGCGTTATAAATGAACCCACACCTTCATGATACTTACTTAGCAAAGCACCTTGTAACTTCATACTTCCCTTTTGTCTATATATTTAAAGGTGGGCCCCAAAGGTGTTGCAGTAGGCATTGAACATATTGATGAGTTAACTAAATATGCATTAGGAAATGTTGACAAATGGATGAAGAATAGTGAAGCAGCTAAATCAGCTAGCATAAAATTGGGAAAACAATTAAAACTTGTAACTGGTGATGGTCGTCAAGGTTGGCAAACTGATGCCCCTTATGATGCTATTCATGTTGGTGCTTCATCTCCAACTATTCCTGATGCCGTGAGTTCGTGTGTATTTTTCTCTAGATAAGTAAAATTCATAATTTTTCAATTTTTTTACCGACCTTATTGTGGAGACATGTCTTAGTGTCTGTCCTAAGCACTCGATTTTCAGCCAGTGACTGTAGGGTTTTAGTCCCGTTCCACCTACTCCAGCTTGAACTGCTGGGTGCCGGCAATCAGTCTTCACATGAGATATGTGTGACTCATAGAGTGGACTTGCTTGAAAGATTTGCTCCGGTAACTTAGCTGAAACAAACAAACAAACGAACCTCCTAATTATTTTCATCAGTTTGGCATAGAACATACTTAGTGTATTCGGAAGAATGATACTAATTGACTACTGATAGTAATAGATTTAGTTACTTTTAAGCTCGTGTCCCACTGGTGAGTTGATAAAGATCAAACGCTTAGTCCAATGGAGCACACAACATCACAGATGCATCCAGAGAACGCTGACTGTCGAAGAGTGATACCATCACAAATCCATCAGATCACATGGTGACTTACACATTAAGCTACTTTAGACTTTATCTTTCACATTTGCAATGATTCCATAAAAAATCGAACAGAAGTTTGCTTCTTTTATGTATTTAGATAGAATACCAGTGTATTCTATCACGTTAGATTTGAGCCTCACCACAAATACTCATAAAAAACTGAGCACTCTTCATAAATTGTAAAGAACGTTTTGTACAGAACATTACAGTATGTATGCATTACTTGTCTTATCATACTCATGATGATGAAGTTATTTGTCTGTGCAATAGTCGAACCCAACAGTGTGTTTTCTTCGTGATTGGTTCAGGGTGTTATTCACTGCTAACTTGGAAGTAGCTAAACATTTCGAGAAGAAGACCGAAGTCGTCTACCCACCCCTAGGCAGCAGTACCATGTCGTTTATGGTCGTGGAGGAGCAACTACTAACACTCACCAATACCAAACATGGAAAATATAGTATTGTAACGACAGAAGGCAAGAGTCAGGCAACAGATCATTTATTAAGGAAATCAACGCATATTTATATATGTTTTCATGTACATTACTATGGATACGTAAACAAACAAACACAGTCTTCCGATTGGTTGTTTCTCACGACAAATCTTGGGAACGTAAATATTGATGTAAATTACTGTCTAACAGTTTGGCTAGTAGACAGCTCTCACCACAGTATTACCCATAAAATCACTGGATAAGAAATAATGGTACTGTTCTTTGTACAAAATCTGAAAGAGGTTATGTGAACACCTTGATAAGATTGTAAGTAATATTGCCCTCGAAACGTCAACTGTTAATAAATAATACGGTCTATACTTTGATAATTCCCCCTTGCAGAATTAATAACACAATATGCAGCTAAGAGACTCCTTCCAACGAATTTATTATCAAGCTGTACAACCGTATATATATATATATATATAATGCATTTATAATTTCATGTGTTGTACGACATATGGTAAAGCATAATTGTCACTTGGTTTTCAGTAAAGTGTCCTTTATTATATGGAGTAGTGAGGCAACTGAAACTGCTGCACTTCTGTGCAAATTTCTGTGTTGAAACTCAGCCAGTTAGTCCTGTTTATCAGACAGACAATCTGTATGCTGACCTTATGGGAGCTGTAGGTTATTTGGTTTAAATATCCGACTTCCAACCCCAGTGAGCTATGGGTTCGAATTCCACTCCACCTGTCGAGCTTTGGAAAGAAAGACAGATAGGGTATCACTAGTAGTGCTCACAGAGAACAACAGCTGCGGTTCATTCCCACCTACATTGCAAATGGCTGGCTGTTGTATACTAGCACGTCTAACTTCTCTCTACTGATCTCAATATGGCGAAGTTAAACAATGGTGTCCCAGAGGTGCGAATGCCCCAATGACCTTGGACGCAGGTTAGTTGTTGGTTAAAGACACCTGTCACTATTATACTCCAAATATGAACGCTATTCACCGATTAAAGAATGAATTTCACCCGGATCACGTTTTTGAGTACTGTTTGGATAGTGTGCTAATAGCTCGTTAGGATTAGGACCACAGTTAGAGGGTTACAGTTAGGAATAGATTTAAATTTGGGTGTTATTTATTTTACTTTGTCATTATCCACATTTTCCTGCTAAGTAGTCATTGATCCTTCTACTAGAAACCGTAGTGATTCAACCGACGGCTTTTGTTAAGGACTTAGAAACAGGATAAAAGTGTGATAAACGGGTCACAAAAAGAGCCCCCTTTAGTCACTTCGGTGAATATATATGTGTACAGAATCTGGTCTATCTTAAAAGTACGTTTTAGTTATAATGAGGATTATCGGTTTTTAAGTCATGTCAGAGAAAGATACCCTGTTTAATGTTTCATTATGCATTTCCTTGTAAATAAATGTTATTTTTTGGGTAAAAACCAATTATTTTTTATGGTTGGTGATCGGCTCAAGGTCACTACTTGTGCGTTCGAATCCCTTGGGACGCTACAGTTTAACTTTGCTCTCAGTATTTGTCCGATTGTTAAAATAGTCATAGCACATTTTTTCATAGTTTTGATTTTGTTGTAATCAACTTTGCTTGTTTATTTGTTTTGTCTAGTTAAAGGAACAGTTAAACGTGGGCGGTCGTCTAATTTGCCCTGTAGGTCCAGCAGGTGAAGTTCAAGAACTGGTTCAAATTGATCGTTTACCAGATGGTTCATTCCAGAATAAATCACTTAAGCAAGTTATGTTTGTACCACTAACGGACAAAAATTTACAATTAGGATCAAGGTAAATTCTAACATACTGCCTTTTTCTCAGAAAAAAACAAAATTCAATTTACATATGTTTTATTACTGTGATTTTCCGATGGAATAAATACTCAGCTGAATGTAGTTTTAGTTTTAAATTTTTCTGTTTTTTTATCAAAGTAATTTTTCTTGTCACTTCACAACTTTTACCATTTCTCATTTCATTTCTTTGGTTCCGAGTAGTGGATAGGACTCCAAACTTCGGAGTTTTGGTGACGCTTTCGTCATTACAGAGAGGGGTTGCTAGCCTCTTGCCTGACTTCTCTTTTGAGTTTACTGCCGTCTAGCAAACTGGACGAGGCTTCCGGAGCACATCGTCCGGGAGTCGGACCCTGCCTTCTGGTGTGGATGGTAAACATTCGACCGTTTCACCACCTATGCTATTAGTGACTGTTATGACTGACATTCACTATATAATAGGTCAAATATGTTTGGCTAAGTGTCCGAAGCTTTATCTCATTGGTTCAGTTGGTGTTCGACTTCGAACTGCTAGGTCCTGCTTGACCTACAGAGGTATGACAAGTCAGGTAGTATTGTTAGTCCTAAGACAATAAATGCCGCTCATTGTCGGATATCCATGGAAATGCATATAGTTGTTGTGAGGTTGTAGGCATCTTCAAAAAATAAAAATCCAGTATACAGTTCCTAATGTTACTGATGTTTGGTAACTGGAGTGAATATGTTGTAGTTTGTGTTAATTTTAGCTTTCTAAGATATTTTCATATCATCGGAATCTGTAGTATTTTGGTCTTTTTAGACACGTCGATATCCGACTGTTGGTAAACACTAATTAGCACCATTGAGAGAAACCTAATGTAGGTCTCCCCTTTCGATTACCTCCTCAGCATGGCAAAGATGTGGATGTCGAATCCAGCCAAGATCGGGAAAGCAAGATAGGCATTCACTATTTTTGAAATCAGTGTGCAGATTTGTTATGGTTGGCGAATGAAACAACATTCGAATTGTCAGCACTAATGTAACGTGGAGGAGAATCATGTGAAGAGAAAATCAAATCTGGTTGGCAGTATTGTTTTCAATTCTCTTAGTGGACTACACACTTCTGCTTTATTTTGTTCATAGTGGCGTGTGTGAATTGATGGGAAGTGGCCAAAATTTTAAATCAACATCTTAGGTCAGTGGTTGGCGAGATAAAAGTGTTTATTCCTCAAATTCAGATTTAGTTTGCATTGTGGTCATGCACTAATTTCATTGGACAACTTTTCTTCCGACTGTTTAACCTTGGACCAGTCGCCAACCAATCAGGACCATTTATTGTCCGCATACTCAGCCGACTTTTAATGTGGTTAAAACTGTACTAATATGCATTTTTGTTCCCAATTCTCTTATCTTCTACCGTTGGAATAGTGCTAGACACTTCCTTAGTTGGTATTAGTGCGTATGCACCTGTTTCGATATGTTCCAAAGCTTTCACAGTCACAGTGCCTTTGTCAGCTTTAGTTATGACAATAGATTTGTACGACCTTAAAGTTTGTTATGCATGACGTTTGTCTTCCGACAGATTTATGGTTGACTACTCTTCATTCAACATGATACATCCAACCTTCTGACTCAATTAATTAGCTTCATCATCAGGTCAAAGGGTTACTACAGGTTCAGTGATATTATTTCTATTGCTTCCAGGAGTTTTCTAGTTATGTTGAAGTGTACTGCCTTCTAAAGTAATGCTGCTTCGTGTACATTGGTTTCTCTGTTGAACAAATTGCATAGTGTTCTTATCGTGGTCTGTATTCTTGACTTCTCTAATCTAGAGTGTTGCCGCATTCAGATTTCTAAGTTTTTCAAACTTCTGAATTTGTCTTTGTTTAGTAGTTTTGATACGATTTCTCTCTTTACTGCTGGTATTCCTCTATATCTGATGCATTTGATATTATGAAATATGCATTAGGAAACAATCAAGAAACATTAGCTAAATGTTCATAATCAATAGAAGACATTGTAAGATGCTTAAACTTTGTTTAGAATCTACTTATTTTAATTTTATAGACAAAATTATACTGTCGGACAAATGAAGTTGCAATAGGATCAACAGCATCTCCAATTGTAGGAAATTTCTATATGAAAGGTTTAATTTGTCATCCTAGAATATTTATCGTTCACATATGTAGGCAACAGTTCGTCGGTGGTGGTTCAGTGGCTGAATACTGGCCAGCCACGCAAGTGGTCCGGGGTTCATTCACCGGTCGGCGTACTCCTTTTCCTTCCTTAGCCAGTTAGTAGTAAGCCAGGCAAAGAGGAAAGGTCGGGCATGAAATTAACAATCGCATCCCGTAAAAGAAACGCTGCTGCTGAAATTTCAAAGCTCTAGCCTCAAGCCCTATGTTCCACTGGAAACGCAAAGGAATAATATAAATAATAATAATAATAGTAATGTAGACGACACATTTCTCAATTATTAAGAAAGCTGAAAAGGGGAACTTTCTTGAACAAGTTAACTCCATTTCAAAGTGTATAAAGTCTACAAATGAGGTTGAATCGGTTGAGGGAAATTGGAAACCTTCTAGATTGTCTTGTGTAAAAAGATTAACTGACTGAAACCGGACACATTCAAACAAACATTTAAATTTCCTACCTGATTGTCCAATTAGAATGAAAGTCTCAGGAGCTTCAAATTTCATAAATATGGCTACAAACAGTATGACAGATAACGATCTATTTATTGCCCTTGATGAATTTGAATAAAGTAAGAACGACAGTGGTTTGTGTAGAATAAAATGGTACCATCACTTATTTCGTTGGTTTCTCATCAGCTTCTGCTTACAGCCTAAATAAATTATGAGGTTTATGTACAGAAAAGTTTTAACATACTTGCAAATTTAACATGTTGTCAGTTGACAGAAAGTTCCACAATTAGTGAACAGTGCTCAGAAAATTGCGCTTATTTAGTTTTTACACAGTCAGTTCAAGTTTAAACAAAATAAATGTATGCATACCATGGTAAAGAAATTGCGTAATGAAGATGAGAGATGCGTAAGATGCAGAGTGACTAATAAATTAGGTAACAATATGCTGAGTTCAGCTCAAATCATGGAAACAAGAGACAAGCACAATTATAGATTATAAGATGGGGTGAGGCTAAAGACGAAGATTACGTAATCAAGGTAAGGAAGGACTAATAACTGCCTCTTTCTGAACACATAAATCTGGTTTCAACCGTTTGATAGAAGTTGCTTTGGCAAACTTGAGGAGAATCGAGCTCCTTTGTCCATTGATAATTTTAAATGATTTCTGAATTTCTCCTTCGCCGAAGCAACTTCTATCAAACGGCTGAAACCAGATTTATGTGTTCAGAAAGAGGCAGTTATTAGTCCTTCCTTACCCTGATTGCGTAATCTTTGTCTTTAGCCTCACCCCATCTTATAATCTATAATTGTGCTTGTCTCTTGTTTCCATGATTTGAGCTGAACTCAGCATATTGTTACCTAATTTATTAGTCACTCTGCATCTTACGCATCTCTCATCTTCATTACGCAATTTCTTTACCATGGTATGCATACATTTATTTTGTTTAAACTTGAACTGACTGTGTAAAAACTAAATAAGCGCAATTTTCTGAGCACTGTTCACTAATTGTGGAACTTTCTGTCAACTGACAACATGTTAAATTTGCAAGTATGTTAAAACTTTTCTGTACATAAACCTCATAATTTATTTAGGCTGTAAGCAGAAGCTGATGAGAAACCAACGAAATAAATGATGGTGCCATATTATTCTGCACAAACCACCACTGTTGTTCTTGCTTTATTGAGATAACGATGTCATGGAGTGTGAGATCTCCAATGTAAGACAAATTCCGAAAAGTGGGATGGTTGAATAAATTCAACGAGTAAGTGCTTCAAATAATGTTAGTCTATTTCAAGCCCTCTGATTATTTCGATAGAACTTTGGTCAGTATCAAACATATATTTCCTAAAATGACACAAAATAACTGCGTATATAGGAAAACAAAGTGTTCAGAATATGAAGCTTACGGTATACCGCATAAATCAGTAGAAAGGTTAAGGTCAGAGTGAATGAACACAGACACTGTGCACTAAACGTCCGCCTAGAAATGAAGTAGAATTAATGAGTCTCCAAAAAAGTAGACATAAGATCGATATTGAAAATGTTGAAATTCTAGGGAAAGGCTTCCATTCATATAAAGGGATGGTTGATCTCTGAAACTTTGCATATTTCAACTACATCGAATGGAATAAGTGGGAGAGAGAGAGAGAGAGAAAGGATAGACTTATCACCAGCAGACTGTAATACATCAAAAGAGGTGAAAGAATTTATTCAATCTTATGTTGTGACCACTGGAAAGTATTATCATGATTTTCACATGTTGAATTGACGTGTGCGAATAACATACACACACATACACAGAGACAAATATGCACAAATGACAATTTGACAGTAGTCATTACAAATACGTGAGGATTGTTTGCAATTTTTTTATTGGTACAAATGTCTGCCGACAGGTGACCTTCAAATCAGTTCAGTTTATGTAGTTTTTGAGTGCATATGCTGATGGTTAGTAAAATCTGAATAATAAGTCTGCTGAAGATGTGTCTTAAAAATAGAGAAACGTTCAGAAAAAATCTTCTTTTGAGTAATTACATATATGTGTAGAACTTGGGTACTGTGGTAGTAAGTAATTCCTTATTGGTTTGTTTATTAGGTGTATCACACAGTGAAACAGTATTATTTACTGCATGACACAGTTTCGAACACAATACATTATTGTTCATAATCATATCAATTGTAATCACACGACTTGAGTTTTATAGTTTTCTTTGTTTTCTCCTATTTGTCGTAGGGATATCGGGAACAGGTGTTGAATCATTCCTATCATAGTAATATTAATGACAACATGCATGTCAAACATGCGCAAGGCAACGCCAACAATAAGGAAGCTGAATCAGCAGTTGTAATCCCATTCAAGGAAGAAACTTCGGAAACCACTTTATGCAGAATTCTTAACAAG